ACAAAATGCAAACACTGCAACCATACCAGAACCAGAACTTGCACAAGTTCTTTCTGATATAGACCAACACACTTCCGCTCCCCAAACAGATAATCCAAATACAAACACAGAAATTCCCATCTCACCACAACTTGACATTCCACTCTCACCAATACCAGAAACTCCACTCTCTCCAATACCAGAACCAGAAATCTCACAACCTTCATCTCCTCAACCAGATATTAATCCACCCTCTTCACAACCTGAGACTCAAAACTCTGAGGCTCAAACCTCTGAATCCCCTGAACTACAACCTTTGGCCATTCAATTGCCCTATGGTACCACTGTTAATATGGCTCAACTTCCCTCCTCACCAGAAACAACTCCACCAAACACCCCATCAAGTCCAATCGTTATTTCTGACTCTCCCACTCCCTCACCTAAGAAAAATTCAGATGACCACAGCAAGACTGTCATTGATCTAACAGTCTTTGAACGCCTTGCTGCAATAAATAACAAAACAACCATCTCTAAACCTAAACAACCAGATGTTAGTCCCAGCATTTTGAACTTTGAAACAGATATGCAGAAGTGGATCACTTCTTTGAAACAAGCAAGTCTGGAAGTGGTTGATCCTGCTGTATCAGACTTCCTCTGGACAAAATTCAGAAGATGGGTTTGCGCTGAAACCTTCAAGTTGCAAGACCAGAGCTATGGACAGGCTCAATAGAACTTCAGCAATCTGCTGAAGGAAATGGAAGGTCCAGTTCTGAGCAAGCTGCTGAAGGAAGAAGCTCTCCATCTGGACATTGCGCCTTGGTCTGAAAAGCGTCCAGCATCTCAAGTTCAACCTGCAGAAGAACAAATAATTCAAGATGAAGACTTGGGTCAAGCAGAAGAAACTACAGAAAGCTCTGAGAAGCAGCCTGTATCTGAAGATCCTCAAGCTTCCTCTCTTGACAGGCAGGCTCTGGAGGATTTGAAGAGATCAAATATGCTGATGAATGAAAGGATGGACAAGCAGGATATCAAGATTCACTCTATAGCAAACATGGTATCTAAGCAACAGGAAACCAGCGAGCAAATCAAGAGCATGTTGGAAGCTCTGTGCACACGACTTCCTCCTTCTTCTTGGAAATTTTCTTGTGTTTTCCTTGTTTTCTTTACATGTTTGTCTGTAATATTTTTACTTGTTCTAAACTATCATTGCTTCTGTTTTTAATACAATTTTTTTGCTCTGATCATTTTAACTCTGATTATTCGTGCTTTTTGATAACTGACAAAAAGGGGGAGAAAGAATGATATTTTTCAATAACGGTTTACTGAGACAAAAGTCTCAAACATTCTAACATTCTGATATATTTGAATTTTTTTGTTCTGAAAAGCTTACAGGTACAAGAATCTGATGAACTCTGATAACGAAAATTTCTGATGCTCAAAGAAAGTTCAGTAAAGTTCTGATGCTCAAGGTCTCAAGGAATCAAAGGGAAATAATCAACTCAGGGGGAGTTTTTCTCTTTATTACTCTGATACTTTTTATTCCTTATCCTCTTATCTCTGATACCTTTTACTCGTTATTTGATTATCTCTAATACCGTTTCCTCTATATCCTTAAACTCTGATACCTTTCATCATTTTGTTTTAATTGAAAAAATCTGGTTTTTGTCATCATCAAAAAGGGGGAGATTGTTAGAACATAGTTTGATTCTACAACCCTCAGTTAGAGTTTTGATGATAACAAAATACAAGATTAAATGAATTATGAGATTTATATAAGACATATATGCTACTCAAAATTATGCTTTGTATTTACAGAAACTCTGATGGAATCAACATCATAATATCAGAATATCAACATCAGCATCAGAAGATATGTCACATCAGAAGATCAAACATGTGCTACGCTGAAGTCTGATGAACATAATCTGCGCAAAACATACTCTGACTCTGAGCAAGATACTTACCATGTCATCAGTACTCTGAAACGCCAGAATAAGCTAAAGCCAAGAACACTCTGATTTTGATTAAGCAGAACATTCTGAAGTGTCAACGTTACTGCATTCAAGGCAGATTAATTACCAACGGCTTTATTCTAAGACAGAGATCTTCTCAAAAAGGAAAGAAAGTTATGAGCATTGAAATAGAATTATGGACAGCAACGTATCTATTCCAAGGCTATATAAACAAATCTGTGAGAAAAGAAATGGCTAATAATTCTCTAATACGCACATACGCATAAGCCAATCATCTTCACATTCTCACTCATCCAGTTTGCTAAAGTTCTCAAGCGATTACTCTATAGCTCTAGAAATCTAGTATTATCCAAGCTTAATATTGTGTATTATCACAGTTGTGATATATAGTTTTTCTTAGAAAACATCAAACACATTTGTTCATTTATCTGTAAGAGAATTACCTTGAGATAAACCGGTCTATGGTTAGACTCAAGAAGGCTTTGATAGTTGTTAAAGAAGTTATTGTATTCAGTTGAATATAGTGGATTAAGACCTCGTTGAAGAGAGGCGAAATCACCTTGACGGGTGGACTGGAGTAGTTTGAGATCAAACGAACTAGGATAAAAATAATGTGTTGTCTGCATTTGATTTCAAGTTTTACAATTCAACCCCCCTTCTTGTGTTTTTCACTTCTTCATTGGGGGGTTTAACCTCTCATAGAATTCAAAAGTAAAATAACACAGATATTAGATGTAGACATTACAATAAGTTTGGACTCTTCAATAATCAATTGCTATCGCGCATGAAGAGTTCTTCATTCCCAAAGCTCCTCTAGATCTCCAGCATTTTATCGTGAAATTTTTCCATCGTTCAAAAAGTCCTTTTTCCTTTTTCAAATTAAGTTTAAGTATTCTGGTCCTTCCTAGGTGATGCAAAAAGTCCAAATTAGCCTCCAGGGTTCAAAAAACACTAGAAATTCCCAAAATTAAGAATTATCAGCGCCTGAGCTGAAACTGGCTGTGTCAGTGGACATGGGCGCCCGTGTCAGCATCTGTGATCCTTACTCCAAAAGTTTATGCTTCAGTTGACTTGAAACGGGCCGTGTCGTGTGACATGGGAACCTGTGTCACCTTCTGTCTTCAGCTTCTTTTCCTTCTTCTCTGGACACGGCCTGTGGCAAGGCCCCTGCAACTTCATGTTTTGCTTCACGTTTGTACAAATCCTACGGATATTTTTACTTGCACCTGAGATTACCAACACCTACCAAACTAAACCATCAAAAGCATCTAAAATAAATTGAATTCAAATAAAAGCAACACAAAGATACATTTGTGAAAAGTAACATAACTTAAACAAAACGATTAGAAGAAAAACCAAACTGTTACACATTTGTTGAACTTAGACCGAATAAGTGATGAAAATAAAGTAGAAATGGTGACCGATCAATGCCCATATATATAACTTTGGAAGAGGAATAAACTCCACTGAGGTTCTTATTCTCCCTCATATCTTATCAGTAAAGGAAATAAAAGCAAATTTTCCACTACTAAAAACTTCGCGTTTAGTGACCTATAAAGAGACTACCAATTTTTGGTTGGAAAAGTGGTAGTGGCTAACCTTTAGTGACCGAAACTGTGACAAAATTAGTTATATATTTTAGCGACCATTTTCAGTTGATTAAAATAAAATAAAATTTTTGGCACATGATGGAATAAAACCAAAGCTCTTTGACTTGAGATTTATCCACCTGTCCACTAGAAAAATTGTTTTTAGTTGTTGAATTTACATTTTATATTATATATATTATTAATGAAAAAGAAATTCCAAATATTATTTAAAAATATCTTATACTAATTGTCATCAAAATTAATTAATTTTTTTAAATCAGTAAATTTGTATGAGTTAATTTTTTTTATATGAAAATTAGACAATATAAAAATTTGTATGTGAAACATTTACTAAAAAATAAATATTGGAAAGGAATTAAAATATTAAAAAAAATATAGGAGAAATTGGGAGGGAAGTGATTTAATAAACAAAAAAAAACAAAAATTATTAGTGGCCGAAATTTCGGTAACTAATATTTTTATAAATTAAATTTATATATAAATATGTTTTTAAAATTGAATTTTACTGTCACAAAATTTTAGTCGCTAATTCGGTGGCTAATTTTATTTTGTGATCGGTTTAGCGACTTTTAAAATTGTACTATCATATTGTCTAATTTCGGTGGCTAATTGGATGAATAGAATGACAAAAAAAATTTGGTCACTAAAAGAAAATTTTCTAGTAGTGTTTAAAGGAAATATCATGCTAGGATTTATATTCAGCTTTTCCTGAAGACTGACGACTGTGATCCAAAAGATGCAGAATTGAAAGCCCACTTGGATCTTCGAGATCAATCAAATGAGGTGAAGTAGGACTAGGTGGACATAAAGATAGTCGGCACTTCATCAGCTCTGATCAATGATGCTATTATAGATGCGACTAATATTATGGTCGGTGATCCCCTGGAATGATTAGCTCTTCTAGTGGATCCAGAAAAAGAGGATATGCAGTTATTTTAACGACTATGTGATCCCATTTTATGATTTCATGTTCATAATAATAGGATTATGGTTGTTCTATACTGACTTTGAGGTAGTTGTTCTAAAATATTTAAAAGTTTCTCCTTCCCAACTTAATCCTAGGTACTGGGCATACATAAGCTTATTTCAGTTGTTTGTCGAGCATAAATATTAGAAGCATTTCCTATGACAATTTTTGTAGTCACTGGCTCATTTACTTTCACCAGGCCACTCTTTGGTTCGATCCCTTTGCTCTGGATTGAGGCGACTTCTTGGGGGCGTTTCTTGCTGGAAAAGCCTCTCACACCTATGACCCATCTTGTTTTCTTTTATTTCCTTATCGATTCTCCTTTGTTCTGTCATATTTTATATCTAAATTATTGGTCCAAGATTTAATTTAACTGGGACACTCACTTCTATTGTACCAAACATGGTTCTCTTTTTTTAGACGAGGTGATAATGAAGGAGGAAATGAAATCTTGGTTTTAGGAGCTTGGCCATGAGGAAGAGTTTTAACCTAGTGAGTTCTCCCTACGAAGATAAAGACAATGTGGATTGAAACTCATGCTATTTTGAGTTCAATTAACCAGGAGGAGGGGAGAAAAAATTGTGTGAGAGTAGAGTCTTCGTGCTTTTTCTTGACATGCATGGTTTCATTTTACAGATAGCATAGAAAGATTAACAAGTTGAAGTTGTTCTATAGCCTTCCAAATGCTCAAGGTATTCAGATCATGGTGAATATTGGGACTTCAACCTTTTCCCCAACTCCTCAGGCGACCACCATTCCTGCTCCTCCCACTTCTCTTAACTTAAGCATAGAGATTTATGCTTATGCAATCGAGATGGATCAATGTGTGTACATTGCGGGCACTTTAACCATGAAGGAATCAACTACGCCTAAAGTTTCAACAAAGTCGATCCAAGAATAAGATTAAAAATTCCCCTGGGATAAGGGTTCTCCAAAATGAACTTGTGTCTTCGAGGGTGGTGCTTCTAAGGAGGTAACTACAATCATGAGGATGCCAAATATCTTTTTTCCCAGCTTAATCAGACTCTTGAGAAGGTGGCTTTTACTGTTTTGACATCAGATTTATCCTTTATTTTGAATATATGAGGGGGATGAAGAGGAACTCACTTTCGAACATACACACAATATGCTCAAATCTGCTTCTATCACTACTACGGAAAAACACATATAATGACGGTTGTGAAACATATATAATGACAGTTTCATATATGTTTTCAGGTAGCATGTGATTGTATGTATACTAGTTACTACAACAGGCGTCTGACCGTGGTTATAAATTAGATAACATGCTACTTATAACTATGGGTGATGGAAACAACTGTTGTGAAATAATTGATCAGTCTTAGGTTTGAATCCTATAACTCCATTCTTAAGTTTTATTATTCTGGATAGCACTCTATTTATAACAACAGCTAAATTAAAAACCGTTGTGATATTATTTATTTTTTTAAATATATTTTTCAATTTTACAGAATTCCCAATTTTTTATCTGGATATTTCTGAATCGTATCATACCAGAAACAACAATACACCCATTTGAGAATTAAATTATACTAAAATTATATTACATCAATGACACAATTCCATTAGGAACCAAAAATTGTATATTACATCAAAACCAAAATGAGACAAAATAATCTACAATGTAGATATTATTTCATCAAATAATACTATCTTGTTGTCTTGTCTCTTGGTGTCTTGACTTTAAACACCTATAATTTCAAATGATAATAGTTGTTAGAAATTAAATTAATTCATTGGAAATTATAACATACAATAAATTATGAATGAAGAATATAAAATACTTACTTGTTAATTTTCCCATATGCCTTCTTGATGATCGCTACGAATAGCATGCACATCATCTCTATCAACTTATTTATATGAATTAGGAACTTATGTTGTGTAAGAAGGATTGGAAGGAATATTAAAACTTTTATCATCACTATGAGAAATGTATTTTCCTTTGAGAATAATTGACCATCTCCTCGATAAGTCTGCAGGGTCTGTCACATAAATACCCATGTGAATACTAACCCATCAGTTTATACACCACTGTTATTAGGAATCCACTTGAATTTAAATAAAGGCACTTTGAAAATAATAGAATCAATCTCCAAAATCTCCTCAATGACACCATAAAACGCGGTGGTTTCCATAATAGGATTCTTATCTTTCGAACTAGAGAAAAACATGGTTTTGGAGTTAACCATACCACCACTATTTTGCATTGTACTACGATCATCTTTTGCTTTTTTATAAAAGGAATAATTAGAAATGCGGAATGTCGTCCAAGTTATCATAGTAAATTTTAGCATGTACGACACTCATTTAATTGTCTTGGATGCACCATCATCATTAGAAATACTATTATTAAACCAACTTATAAATTTCTTTATGTCGTGTCAAAAACCACTTGTCATTCATTCGAGATATTTTGTCTTTATAATTGTTTTGTGTTTTTCTTTGTAAGGTTTAACTATATTGAACCCTAAACCCTAAAACTTAAACCCTAAACCCTAAATGTTAAAGGACTCGCACATATTTTTATTAAAAAATTGAAAAACATTTGATGCTGGGATTCAAAGCTTGTCAACCAAATTTTATGACCATAGTACTTTATTGGAATTGTGATGAAACATTTCTTATTAAAATAAAAAAACATGTGTATAAAAACTGAGATATGACTATGGTTGATAAATGGTTGTGGTAATATAGTGTCACCGAAGGTATATTTCTAGTAGTGAATTTTGTCCCTTATCTATGTTGGTTATGGAGACATCTTGGCCCTAGAAAATACCACCAAAGAACCAGATACGTTGAAAGGGAAATCTTAAACTATGAAGCTCTTGTGCTCCACTCTCTAGAAGAAGCTTGTTGTGCTGCAAGAAGAGTTTAAAGCTACCAACTTTTTGCAAGAAGATGAGAAAATCGATGGCTCTCATTCCAATCAAGATTCCTAGGTAACTAAATTGGAGGATGTCCTTAAAGTGGAAAAGAATCAGTATCTGAAAGCTTCTGATGTTGTTAGGATAAGACTCTTCAGATGGACGAGCATTAGAAAACTCTTCTTTATGAGATTAATCCTCATGTCGAAGCCAAAAAAGCTCTCCAAGATGAGGTGGCCGGACTGGAACTGTTGGTGGATGGTTCCCAAAGACATTTTCAAATTGTATTAACTGCAACTTTTTCTTCTTGTGTTGTTAGTGACTGAGGATTGGACAACGAACTTTGGAATGGTCATTCACTTTGGTCTGACGGTGGGAGGGTGTACCAACATCGATTCCAAAGCTTAAGTCATTGAAACTTGTAAATGTTGGGTGCAAGTGTGAGTGGTTAAAATCCGACATTGCCTATGAATGTGTGAAATGTTAGATTTATAAGAGAGAAGACCCATTTGTCTAACACCTTAAGGTTTTGGGTTGAGATGTGGCATCTCCCTCTATTGTAGTCCTCAATTATTGATCTCATTGATACTCTCGACTCTTCCGGACTCGCCAACACTAAGGCGGGTGTATCTCATAAATTTCTTATAATAATTGGAAATTTATTTTCTCACCCTTGTATTAATTTCCAAACCCCTGGCGAAAAGAAAAAAAATGCCCCTTAAATTTGGAGATGCATCTCTAGACGCACCATTTTCACGTAAAATAAGTGCTAATTATTAAGCACCCTTCACTTTGTCAAATTTTGATTCGGGGATGCATATTAGAATGTGTTTTAGGGTTTTTCGCAAATGTATATCTGAATTAACCCTTGTTTACTTTTAATGCATTGGGTAGTATTAGATTTTGAAATAAGTAAGGTTATAAATATACACTGTGATTTGGATGATTTTTGGGTTTTTAAGCAAGGTTAGGAATTATTTCTTCCCTTGAAGCATAACACGAAACATTTTCAGAGATGCATCTCCGAAATGGGTCATTTCTAGTTTTCGAAGATGCATCTTTGAATTTGGTCTTTCATGTTAAAAAATTTCAATCTAAAGTCTTTTTTTCTTCTTTTTAGAGGAGAATGGCTGCAAACAACAACATAATGAGACTCGTTCGTGAATCCCTAACTGCGTCGGCTCGTCGCGAGAGGGCTCTTCAAAATGAGCAGGCCAGAGTTATGCGGGAAACAATCCCTAGGCCTCATAACAGGGAAGCGCCAGCATCTAGGAGCTGCCTCTCATAAGGGTCCTCATCCCAAGCCCATACACACTAAGAGGAAGCCCATGTTACACGTGATGACCTCCCTCCACTTGCATACCCTTATCTAGAAGGGCCCATTTACACCTTATTAATGATACATAATAAAGACCATGTTTCTCTTCATGCATGGGCCGAAGAGGTATATTTGTTAACAATTGTTATTTTTTTCTATTTTAACCAAATTCAATGTGAATGATATTTTTATATATTCTTTTTTAATAGGAACATGGTTTTTTGAAATCTATTAACCATGTCAGAAAGATTTAGAATCTTAATCAGCCTAAGGATGAGTGATTCCAAAGTGTCATCAGATTCTCTGGTCTTGTTGGTCTGTGTTCTTCCGGGTACGCAACCACCAGCCATGGCATGCAAGGGGCTTTTGCTAGGAGATGGCATAAAGAAACATCATTTTCCACTTCTCCATTGGCGAGATGACGATTACACTAGATGATGTGACTTTCCTTATACACCTTCCCATCAAGGGGGAGTTAATTCAAACGTGTTGAGGCCCAGAAGATGACGGTGATTTATTTGAGAGCTGGACAAATGGAAGCCCTGATGCAGTGTGAAAACACCAGTGTGCTCATGCTAAAATTTCATTCTTGAAGGACCTTTATGAACAAAACTTTAAGTTGGTCGAGGAAGCCGACGAAGATGAACTACATGTTACCTACCACCGGGAGTGTGCTTTGAGGTGTTTCGTCTTATTATTAGTTGGCACCTCCATGTTTGTGGAAAAAGTGCAACCTACATAGATGTGACATACCTTAAGTATTTCATCGACTTGACGACCATTCACGAGTGGAACTGGGGGGCCGCATGTTTGATATATCTGTACTTCAGGCTCTTACACCCTAATAACGATAATTTCCATAGCCACTATTAAATTAAAAACAACTTTTTTACACTTGTTATTATTATTTTTTCTAGTTTATTTTTAGGGATGGATCTTATCCCACTTTCACAGTATACAAGAGTTTGATCGCGTGCTAGGGTATAATGAGGATTACCCACATGTCTTCCTATATTTCCTGCGTAGATGGAATGTTGGTGTGCATCCATTCTGTGTGTATATTGACAGTACTTAGCATGATTGCATCGATTGGACACAATACGCCACTCACCGAGATATTATTCCCTTTAACCCCATTACATATTACCCTTGATAATTGGCCTGTGGGAGTAGTTTGATGTACATGTATCTGCTGGAGTGATGAATACATCAGTTTGAATTTGTGATCATTTTGAGATCCTCCTTCTTGGTTGCTCCTACCAACATCGTCCACATAGATCTTGATCACATTCTAGCAAATTACGAGAGTCTTCTGGTACCAGGGGAGTATCAGAGTATGCCACCCATAAGTCAGTGGCATTATGTTGAGGGTTACATGAATTGGTCTTATTATGTGTCACACCTTCTCATGACTCTAGATGCTTATGGACATCCACCTAGGCCTGCTTATGAGGAGATCCTGAGAATGAGCAGGCCATGGATAACCATGCTATTGATGTGTTATCGATTTGTTGGAATATTATGTGGACTACGAGAGAGTGCATAAAGTCTGAGCTGTCTGAGAGAGGTGACTATGGTGCGGTTTCCCTAGAATGTTCCATTATTACTGAGGCATAAAATTCCTTGGCTTATCGGAGGTAGAGGAGGAGCTTGGGGTTAGGATTAGGCATACACATTAGGAGCTAGCTTCTCGCC